AGAAATTAGTGTTATAAAGCGATTTCAAATTGCATCTGCCAGTGTTAAAGATCCTTGGGTTTGGCACTTTGATAACAAAGGACAGTTATCTGTTTGGTCGACATATCTTGCTAAAAAAATCATCTTCAAACATTGCTCCCAACTTGCATATATAGTGCAAACATTGTATTACACACCACATCAAAATATCATGTGGGAAGGGTTACAGAGCCTCTCCCTTTCGCCTTAAATAGTTTACTTCACTAGGAGAGTGTCAAAGAATGCATTAGCATCACGAAGAAGTCTCTTGACAAAGCAATGTGTTGTAAATCATTCTTGCCCCTATACGACATAACAAATAAATCGGTCCTCCATATCCTCTTTGAGTGCCCTCATTCAAAATTAACTTGGCAACACGATTTTCCAACAAGCAATCTACCATAGGGAACTACTAAGGTTCTGGATTAGATCTATATGCTACATAAAAAAATGGATCACTGAAAAATGAGCAATTCAAATAACTTTGTTGTCATTTCTGGTCCTATGCCAAAAATGGTTTTTGACGAAAAAAGATTTTTAAAACTTGTAGCTATAGTACATTTAGAATCAATGAATCTCATCTCTTCTCTTTTTCAGAGTTCGTTCATCCAGATGACGTCCAATTATGCCAGGATAGCTTAGGAGATTCTAGAATTAGTGTTAAGTTTAGTTCTGGTATATATTATGGGTTCCCAAAAGTTGGCGGCTGAGCCGCCAGTTTTTGCTCAGAGGGATTTCTCCAATTAGGTCCATGGTTTGTAACCCCTACCACATCTTGACCTTTTTGGTACAGAAACTCGGCAGAATCTAATTCTGAACGAGCTATAGTGAAGATTTGCTAGGGTCAGGTTGGTTTTCTCCATGGACTTCGATATCTTCCTTAGGATTATTCTTTGTATTGCTTGGGAGAGATCCTTGAGTTATTTGTGCACTTGCTAGTTCCTTTAGGGAAGCTATTTGGCGCTCCAAATTCTTTACCCTAGCTTCTTGAGTTTTTGGCGCACTTGCTAGTTCCAACTAAAATCCATCAATGTCCTTTTCATCTAATGGAGTTAAAGATGACAAATGAATTGAATTCATGGGTTGGATTAAATGAATTGTCGGACTCATAGATCCAAGTTGCATCCAAATATTGTACCATTATGTAAATGTTGAAAAGTTTGTGCTAAAATGTCATTGTAAAAGTATAGACGCCAAAATGTAATTTTTGAATGATATTTTTGTTACAAATAAAATATATGGGGTTAAATACATGGCTGGTCACTGAGATTACAAAAAACGTTCATGTTTGGTCACTTGAAATATTTAAATCCATTGGTGGTACTTTAGTTTACTGAAACCGTTCACGTATGGTCACTCTCCATTAGTTGCCGTCCATCTCTGTTAATGGAGTCCGTTAAGTGATGACGTGGCGGACGAATTCGTCTAATCAGTACTATTTATCCCGAAATTAATACAACCCGACCCGCCACATCATCTAAACCAACCCAACCCTCTAACCAAACCAAACCCGACCCTTCCATTAAACTAAACTACCCACATTAAATCCCTAATTTCCAAAACAGATCTCCACCTTCCCCTTCTCGATCATCCCTAATTTCTTCCTCTTCCCCTCTAAAGCTTAGAACTCAATGACTGTTTTGGGCGTACAAGCCCTATTTTTTTTTTTTTTTTGTATCTTCTTCGCCTATCACCTCTGTCAATTACCACTTTATGTGCAGGGGATTTTCGGTTATTCAGACCAATGCAGTCAAAAGCGTGATTCTACCTAAAAGCGGAAAAGGGGTAAAATCGAAAAGAGGTGAATCAAAGCGTAAAAGCATAATTTTTTTATGCATCCTGTATAATAGTTAAAAATCTGTTAAATATGACATAAACTATGTAAAATATAAGTGCACAAAGTTTAGATAAAAGAATAAATACATGCAATTCATGTCTAAATTAGAATAAACTCATAACATCTTAACAATAACTTCATAAATATAAATCATAACCCACATACGAGTTAAAAATACAAATTCTCACAACTAGTTTAAGTTTACATAATAACATACGAGTTTAATAATCTAAGTTCTCGAAATCAAAGCACACAAATGTTATAAAGGATAGAAGGAAAACTACATCAATTCATCGGTTTCTATAATCTCCCATCATCAAAAGTTGTTATCCTTTTTTCATATTATGAAAACTCAGCCATTGATTTGAGAAAGTTAGATCGATGTAGGATCCAAGATGGAAACGAAGAGAAACCCCATTTCATTTAGCTTATACAAATTCGAAAAACAAAGAACCAAAGCTCCAATAAAAAAAAATGAAAAAGCAAGGAATGGATCAGAACATTGGCTTGAATATCTCCATAGGAGATACATTTCGGAAAGTATAATCAATTTCGATCATCTAGGGAAAGTATCATCACATCCACAACGAAACACAACTATCTCAAATTGATCCAAAATTTAGAAATCATCAAGGGGGGGGGGGGGGTTGGAGTGAAAACCATCAGAAACTCCGCATCATGGTTTGGGCACGATTTGGCCGCCCGCATCACCTGGTGGAGCAACATTGAAGTTGTTGTGCGATCTGCACAATCCGACATTGGTGAAGTGGCGACGGGCTAGGACAAGGAAGAGAAGGAAACTAACATGTTGTGGCACCGACGAGTTGCGATAGGCGATGACGAGTGCGACGGGTGCTGCCGCATTGGAGGCTTGGAGGAGCTATCGAGTGCGACGGCTAGAGCTTTGCTGGAAAACTGGCGGCGACGGTTGTGGAGCCTTGTAGCAGCTTCAGATTATTCGCTGGAGTCTGGAAGGCCTGCTTCGCGATGGCGGCGACATGCGATGACGAGTGCGGAGGGCGGGGCCTACCTCGTTGGAGTGCGTGAGACAGGAGACGAACGATTAGGGATTGTGGAAGTGGCGACGGGCTAGGACAAGGAAGAGAAGGAAACTAACATGTTGTGGCACCGACGAGTTGTAATAGGCGATGACGAGTGCGACGGGTGCTGCCGCATTGGAGGCTTGGAGGAGCTATCGAGTGCGACGGCTAGAGCTTTGCTGGAAAACTGGCGGCGACGGTTGTGGAGCCTTGTAGCAGCTTCATATTATTCGCTGGAGTCTAGAAGGCCTGCCTCGCTATGGCGGCGACATGCGATGAAGAGTGCGGAGGGCGGGGCCTACCTCGTTGGAGTGCGTGAGACAGGAGACGAACGATTAGGGATTGTGGAAGATCTCAGGCCAATATCCACCCCATTCCCTTTTTTTTCCGAAGTGATTGAAACGGCGCCGTTTTGGTTTGGTGGAGACAGTTTTCTCCTTTGCTTGGAATCGGGTAAATCGGTGTGAAAACGCATTTTTATCCGATTTCAACGATTTTAACGATTCTACTAACGTTTTTGACCGATTTGAGTGAAAAACGATTTTATTAGTGATTAGAAATATTTTCCTACCCTAGAAACGTAAAATCGTACGTTTTTACGGTTTAAAGTGCGATTTTGACTACACTGATTCATACGAGTTTAGAGGCTGAGAGAAAGTATATCTAAGAATCTTCTTCTCTTTTCTCGATTTGCAGGTTCACTCGATGGCCTCGACGTTGGTGGAGACGAGCAGCTCGGTGGCTATGGCGGGGACGACTAACGGAGTGGAGACCTGTGGCAGTATCGAGGTGTGATGGGGACGACGACGGAGGGTCATCGCCGGTGGTTTGGGTGAAACTCCTCCCGTTGGGTTTTGGTGGGACAACAATTTTCCCCATTCCATATTTTCTTGGCGTTCGTGGCTTGCAGGGATGGGGAGAAGATGATTCCAAACCAAAGTATCAGGGCATGTTATGCTGGGATTTTTTTTATTCCCAGATATGGAATTTATACCTTAGGTTCTGGTTTTTTCTTGGTTGTTGGTGCGAGCAGATTTTGTCGCCGGAGCTGGGCATGCGGTTGAGGAGTAGCGGAAGAGTAGGATGATGAGTTGAGGGGTAGCAAATTAGGGATTTAATGTGGGCAGTTTAGTTTAAGATAAGGGTCGGGTCTGTTTTGGTTTGGTTAGAGGGTTGGGTTGGTTTAGATGATATGACAGGTCTCACTGACGTGGCGGGTCGGGTCGCATTATTTTCGGGCCTAATAGTGCTTATTAGACGAATCCATCCGCCATGTCATCACTTAACGGACTCCATTAACGGAGATGGACGGCAACTAACGAAGAGTGACCATACATGAACGGTTTCAGTAAACTGAAGTACCACCAATGGATTTAAATATTTTGAGTGACCAAACATGAACGTTTTTTGTAATCTCAGTGACCAATCATGCAATAACCCAAAATATATGTATCAAATTGTAAAATATATAGAATATATATCTAAATTGTAATTTTTCAACATTCTATAAATCCACCAATAAAATTGAACTTGAATTAAAATGAATTAGATTGATTGAATTTATACAGAGTTTGCTCATCAACAACAGTTCGAAGAGTATGATAAAAAAAAGGTAAATACAATATATTAGTCACAACTATTATGAAGCGGGGAATTATAGTCACAATTATGAAAATTAAAATTATTAGCCATAACTATTGTTGCGGGTCAAGATATGGCTAACTGTCCGTTACTGGTAATGAATTTTTGACGGAGAAGGCCACGTCATCTGCCACGGCAGCGGCCACATCAGAATGCTTTTAATTTATAACTTTAAACATAAAAATTTAGTCAGTATTACTAACGAAATTGTTAACATATAGTTAACGTATGACTAATAATTTGAATTTTCATAGTTGTGGCTATAATTCTCCGCTTCATAATAGTTGTGGCTAATATATTGTATTTACCAATGTTGTCATAACCGAACCGGAGCATGACCCGGTAATGCGAACGGCTCGCACTTTAGTGGTCCAACCGGCATTAGACCGTTTAATAACCGTTAGAGAACCGGTACCTAATAAACGTTATTAGTATAAATAGTGGATATTTATTAATCAGAGCTCATCTCTTTCCTTCGAAATTGTGAAATGGAAATAAGTATTCAGTTTGAGAGCCCCACGTTTTTATTTATTTCAATTTTCAATTTTCTACAATTTTTTTTAATTAAATTTAGTGGCTGAATGGCAAAAACCGGACCAGCGGCTCAATCGGCTCGAACGGTTAACCGCCTCGGCCGCTCACCAACCACTACATAAAACCGGAGCGGCTTTTAGATTGTTTCGAGTCGGTTTTATGACCAGGTGGCGGTTTTACCGGTCGGGCCGAGCGGCTCGACTTTAATAACACTGGTATTTACCGTAAAAAAAAAAACAGCATTTCAAAGAGAATCTGGTTTCGAGGAAAGGAGATTAAGCCAGGGGTGTTTACGTTAAGGAGACAATGGAACATTTGTTTTGGTTATGCCCGGTGGCTAGGGCCCTTTGGGATCACTCGGGTCTTGATGATTTGGGTCAGGGGTTGCCGCGCCATTCTTTTCCTTTTTTCCTAAAAAAGTTGATGGCTATAGTATCCCCGGCCCAGTGGTGGGCGGTGGTGGCCCTCTTGTGGCGAATCTGGCGATCAAGGAATTGGGTGGTGTTTGAGGGCAAGTAGTTCGGGATCCCGGCACTCATGCGCCAGTACCATCAACAGCATCAAGAGTGGGCCCACCTTCCTATGGACCAGGGGGTTCGGCGGGAAGCAGTGCCACCGCAGCCAGTGCTTGGAGCTGGGGATGATAGGATGGTTTGTCAATGGGATGGGGCCACTAAGTGCGGGTCCCACTCGGCAGGCGGGATGGTCCTCTTAGACCAGGAGGGCCAGACCATTATTGCGCATGGGACGCAGTACCCTGTTGTGGACGATCCTATGGTGGTTGAGTTGCTAGTGCTTCGGGAGGCGATCCTTTGGTGCTTGGGGATGGGGCTTTCGGCAGTTCGCTTTGAGGGGGATGCTAAGGTGGTGATCGACAAGGTCCTGCAAGCGGATAACAGGGATAGCCGAATGGGGGCGATTCTGGAGGAGGTTATAGGATACCTTTCGGTTCATCGTGGCTTAAGTGTGCGATTCGTAGGTCGTAGGAATAATCGGGTTGCCCTTAGGGTGGCCAGGAAAGCCCTTTTATTGTACCCGGCTGCAAGTCGCTGTTTTGATTTCAATGGCTGGCTTCGTGCCAGGATGTAACTCTCTTTTTATCAATACTAGTTTTTTACCCGCCCGTTTGGCCTGTGCATTACATTTGATTATTTTATAATTCGTAATAGTATTCTAATCATTATTATCATTTATGTTTGTTGATTTAATATACATGAAATTGTAAATCTCACTTACCTTATTTAGAAAATGTCTCATACTTTTATACCTTTTTTATTTATGAAAAATTTAATTGTATTAACTGAGCTCTTTGTAGACCGTTCTTTCCCTTCTCCTATGTCGGTATATAATAATAGAGAATATTTTGATCTTGATCTCACGAATATCGTGTATTATCAGTTACACCTGGAATTCTGGAATAATGATGAAACACATTAGCATCCACATCCATCAATCTTCTGCATGCTCAATTAATTTATCTTGTCAACATTCTAGCAAAACCAACCACAAAAAGAACTATCAGTTGTCACTAATTTATTAAAAAAAATATTTTCAGCAAACTAAACTGCATATAAACACAATTTATAATTTATAGAGAGCTGCATATCTCCTAAAGGAAAAAATAGTGCTTTTTTACCTAATAACAACATAGACAAATAATGAAAGGAGCATACTTCCATACAACTCAACTCATTCTATCTTGCAGATTCCTAATTTGTGAACTGAATCTATGCACCAATCAAAATAGTAGTTGGTAAGAAAATAATCATGTCAAAATCAAGCTTTAGTTAAAGATTTAATGAGGAGAAATTCACCATAATGAACAAACAAATGTCATTGCAAACGTGTAGAAATTGAAAAAACATCAAAATACACAACAGAGGAACCGCCACCGTCATTTTCTTTCTTCTTCGTGACCTTTATAAAACCCCCAATTATGTTCCCTTCTACTTATAATCTCCTTGCTACCTACTAATTACTAACCAGATCATCATCTTATAGCTAGCTAGTAGCATGTCAATCATGAACATAAGTAATATAATGAACAACCCTCACAACTCTACTTTCCATTTCAACATCTAAGGAATCGGGTTGCAATAGACATTTAAGTAAAAGATCAATTATTCAACCAAAGGACATATACCCTATGCCCAACCAATTATCCTTTCTAATCATATATTACCTATTTACATAAAAGTATATGACGTAATAGAGAACATAAAACAACTCCGTGAAAACGAAGAAGAAATACATTCGCTCATCAAGTGGAGAAATTTATCATCCAGCAGTTTTAATTTGGAAGAAATTAAGAAAATAATGGAAAAAAGAGTGACCAGTTGCCAGCTTCAGATCAAGGAGGAAAAGGGAGCAGTCGACAATCCTCGGTTTGGTTCACCTCGTTTTCGCAATGATAGGATGAACTGCTTTCATCAACAGGTTAAAATATGTTACAACTGCTCAAAATTTTGCCATCTAATCCTTTCCTCGTGCACCTCCCTCCTTCTATTCTCCTATAAAGAAAAAAAAAACTGCATATGCATTACCATTTCCTTCTCTATCTAATTTCTTATTTCAACGTTGGATTTTATTTCTAGAGAGACAATCAAAATGGTTAAATGGTAGAGATAAATTAAAAGGTTGTATTCATAATTAATATGTTTTTCATTTAAACGGAATGAATAAGAAGTATTTTAAAAAAATAACAATTATCGTTATGTCAAATTTATCTTCAGACCTTTTTCTATATAAATTATACTTGTTTTATTTTATAAGTATATTCATTAGGAAGAAGTGAGTGTTTGATAGCAAAAAATATATAGTCATATAGTTCATTTTTCAAAAACGATTGATTGTTAAACGCTCATTTTCTCCTAGGCCATCGTTTAATTTTTTTTAATTGAAAAATTATTATTATTCATATGTGTGTGCTTGTTTTTTTATTATCAAAATGTAACTTATTATAAATTTTTAGTAAAAATGAATAGAAAATTTACTTAATGAGATTTAATAAGATATTTTGGGTTAAACAAACACTATATATGTCATTCTCTATTTTTATCTTTATAGTTTGTTTAATTGAAGAAAAGATTATTACTTATGTGTGTTTGTTTGTTTGTTTAAATGTGTCACAAAAAATTAACTTATTTTAAGTTTTAGTAAAAATGAGTAGAAGTATTAAAAGAAGAGAGAGATAGCTCCATAAATAGATCAATAAATAAATTTTTGTTTGTAAAAAAATTGTACACCTTGGCATCTTGTGAATTCACCAAGTGCTTATGTGGCAAGAAGTTGCTTTTGAATAGCCATAATATTAAGTATAGATAGATAGATAGATAGATAGATAGTTTTTTTTTTTTTATAGTAAGACCTGCTACTCTTTATTAATCAGCCCTCATGGTTACATTGTCCTTTGCGAGCTGATCAACAAGGAAAAACGGTGGATGATCTGTCCAAACAATTGTCTCGTTCCATCTTGTCTTCGTATGTGCCATAATATGGCCGGCTTCATTTCCTTCCCTTGACACAAACTGCCATCTCCCTTCATTGACTTGTGCGAGCTGTCTTCTAATACTCCTGCAAATGACTCCATTATCATTTTGGATTCCTTCAGCGCTGTCCAATTGGTTAATCAGGGACAAGCAATTTGTTTCCAGAACAACTCGTGTCCCATCGCATTGCTGGCCCAATCGAGCTCCCAATTCTGCTGCGTATGCTTCAGCAACATCCGGCCTCATCTCACCTCGGACATTCCTTGCTGCAGCAAGGATGAATTTCCCATCTGCACCTCTGATGACAACTCCAAGGCCTGTACCTCCATCCCGAAGAACCCCTGCATCCGAATTGATTTTCACCTCCCCCAGCTGCGGTTTCTTCCATCCATCCCGTTGAGCGGCACCATTATTTTCCACTTCAACCTGTACTTTTTGGTGAGCTCGGTAGTCCTCCAGAAAGTTATATGCCCGACCTACTATCTCATCTTCCGGAAGCTTCGAGCCATTGAAGAGATGCGCATTACGTTCCATCCAAAAGAACTAGAGGAGTACACACCATTCTTCAACAACTGTCGTTTCCTTCGACTCCATCACTCTACGTACCCAGTCATAGCAGTCTGCATTACCTCGGCACAGGAAGCAATCAATTAATCCCGATCTCCGCCAAAGCCTTGACACCCACGCGCATTCTCCGAACAGGTGGCCCTGGGTTTCCTTCAAGTCGCAAAACGGACATTTGTCAGTCCACTTTTCACTCTTGGTGCTGAGATGATCTCCTGTCGGTAGCGCGTTCCTTGCGAATCTCCAGACAAAATTCTTCACCTTGGGAGGGATGCACATTTTCCATATACCCGACCAAACGGCCCCATCCCCCCTTGCGTTTATATTGTTCTTCTTTTTAAACTCATTCAGCCACTATCTGTATCCCTCCTTCACAGTATAATCACCTTTCTCACTCCCTGCCCAAATCAGTACATCTTTCTCACCTTGATCACGCAGTGGGATAGCAGCTATTGTTCTCGCCACTTCCGATGTAAAGCTCGCCTCCAATAGTGTATCATCCCAACCCCCCGTTTCAACATCAATAAGATCGCAAACCATCGCATCGACTGCCAACCCTCGGGGGGTATCATCAACATAATAAGGCTCTGTTGGGAGCCACTTGTCACCCCACACTCGAACATTCTGTCCGTCGCCAATCCGCCACCTTGTCCCATCCAGTAGCAAGCCCTGTGAGCTCATCAAGCTACGCCAAATGAAACTGGGGTTGTACCCCACCTTCGCATCCAACACCGTCGAATTTTTGTAGTACTTGGCCTTCATAATCCGGGCAATAAGGGTATCGGGACGTTGATACAGCCTCCACACCTGCTTTGCAAGCATCGCAGTGTTAAAACCACGGAGGTCTCGCAATCCCAAACCACCATCCTCTTTTTCACACACCAGCTCCTCCCTTCGGACCCAATGGATCCTGCGTTCCGATCCTCTTTGCCCCCAGTAAAAATTCGTTATCATGCTATGAATTTCATCCAAAATACTTTCAAGGATTTTGAATACTGACATTGCATAAGTTAGCTGAGCTTGTGCCACTGCTTTGATCAGTGTTTCTCTTTCCGCAATCGACAGAGTCTTCTCCTTCCATCCTTTTAGCTTCGATCGCACCCTCTCTTTCAGCCCTTGGAATATCTCCTTCTTCGACCTACCCACTACTGTAGGGAGACCGAGGTACTTATTGTGTTTTGACACAATTTGCATCCCGAGAATCCCCCCCACGATCAGCCTTTGATGTGTCTTCACGTTCTCGCTGAAGGATATCTCAGACTTCTGGAAATTCACTAACTGGCCCGACTCCTTCTCATAATCCAGAAGAATGTTTTTTAGTTCTTGTGTCTCCTGCTCTGTCGCCCTACAAAAAAACACACTATCGTCAGCAAAAAACAGATGGGTGACAGCAGGAGCACCCCTAGCAGGCTCGATACCCCGCAGCCTCCTCTCTCTTCCGGCGTTCTTTGTGGCCGCGGATAACCCTTCCGCACAGATAAGGAATAGATAGGGAGAAAGGGGGTCGCCTTGTCTGATTCCTCTGGTCGGTGTGAACCTCTCAGATTGGTGCCCATTTATTAACACCGAGTATGTAACAGTGGTTACACACATCATTATCAACTTCACCCATCTCTCCGCGAATCCCAACCGATTCATCATGGACTCAAGGAAATGCCACTCCACCCGGTCATAGGCCTTTGCCATATCAATTTTAGCTGCACAGTAAGCTATCCTGCTCTTCTTTTTCCTTTTCATAGTATGAAAACATTCAAACGCTGCCATGATATTATCTATTATGACTCTGCCTGGAACAAAGGCGCTTTGCTCTTCTGAGATCACCTGGTTCAGCAGCGGCTTCAACCTGTTCGCCAAAACTTTGGAGACAAGCTTATACACGACATTGCAGAGGCTTATCGGTCTATACTCCTTTGGTGTAACGGGGTTCTTTACCTTCGGAATTAAAGCAAGCAGAGTATGATTCAGTCCTGCCAGCATCTCCCCCTGCTCGAGGATCTGAGTCACCATCTTCACCACATCATCTCCTACCACACTCCAATTTCGGCGGAAGAAGAGAACAGAAAAACCATCCTCCCCCGGGGCTTTCCTCTGGCCCATCTGCTTTAAAGCGAAAAAGATCTCGTCCCGATTGAACGGGAGAAGTAGCGCTTCATTTTGCTCGGCACTAATAGAGGCTGTGACTGTGTCTAAAATGGGGGTCTCATGCGGTACCGGTCCAGCTTCGAACAGCTTGTCAAAATACTTGACCAGACATGCTGCAATATCATCATGCTTCGTCACAAACCCACCTAACTCTTCCTGTATACGCCTGATCGTGTTCCGTTTCCTGCGGGCAGATGCCTTCTTATGAAAAAAGCCTGAGTTTTTATCCCCATCGCGTAACCAATCTGCCCTCGAGCGTTGCTTCCAATATAGTTCTTCCTGATCCTCTAGCTCCTCCAGCTCTTGTTCAAGTTTCTTCCGCTGCTGTAATATTGCATCACTCCTTGGTACCCTTTCCAAAGCCTTCATAGCCTTATTAATCTTTCTTTTTTGCTTTGCGAATTTTGGGAACACTTCTCGGCTCCAAGCTAGCAGCTACTCTCGGACAACATTTAATTTGCACAGAGCATCCGCCTCCCCTGCCATGCCCCATGCTTCCGCGACCACCTTTTCACAGTTTTCATGCTTAACCCACATCGGCTCAAATTTAAAGCTCCATCCCCATTTTGGGTCAATATCATCATCACCATGAGTATCACAGACTATTGGCCTATGATCTGACCGCAACTTATCCAGGTGGAGTACCCTTCCTTGCCGAAACATATGTTGCCATGCAGCCGTGGCCACAAATCTATCGAGTCGTTCCTCAATATAGCCCTCCGTCGCTCTCTTATTTTCCCACGTAAAATCGTATCCAGTATAACCTAGATCAGAAAGCTGCGCATCCAATAAGCAATCGCGGAACGCCTGCATATCCCTTTCCACCGGCGCGCGTCCTCCCGCTTTTTCAGCGGCCGTAAGCACTTGGTTTAAGTCACCCCCGCATAGCCATGCTCCCTCCCACTGATTCGACAGTTTTCGTATTAGGTCCCACATTTGCTCCTTGTCACTTCCTTCAGGCCACCCATAGACCCCCGTGAATCTCCACACCTCGTCTGTCCCTTCAACAATTTTCATGTCAATATGGTGTAAAGAGCCTGACATGGCCGTTGCATTTATTTCCTCCTTCCACCAAACGCTTAGACCACCCGCTCTCCCACCTCCACTATTGTCCATAGGCCAACTTTCACCTTTCTCAAATCCCATCTCATTCCTCAACGATTCATTTTCCTCTGAAGTTTGTTTAGTCTCCATTAAGAAGACCATATGTGGGGAACTAAGTCGCAAGAGCGACTTCAAAGCTCGAACTGCTCGCTTGTTCCCCAGACCGCGGCAGTTATAGCTGAGAAGCCTCATTTATGACCTAAAGGGGATCGGTTTCCCGCACCATTTCCTGAATCGATTTGTGTTGCACTTCCTTTTCGGGTTTGGTCCCCTTTTGTAACCCCTATCTCCATTCGTTTGCTGTCCTTTTGTCCACCCCCAATTCCCTTCGTTTGAACCCCTTCACTCACCACATTTCCGTTTTTCTTCTGTTGTTCTTTGGATTTACTACCATTATTTGGACTCCCACTTTTTTGTTTCTGCCCAGCCTTTCCACCTCCTTCCCCTGTACTGCTCGAACCCTCACCTGCTCCCTCCCCCGCCACTTCACCCTTTCCCCCTGTGCTATTCTGCTTCCCTTCCTTCTCCTTTTTTCCTACCTCCCCACTCTTTGGCACGCTCCCCTTCATACTCCCAGCTCCCCCTTCCTCTTCACCACCTCCTACGCTCGGTTCTTCATAGCTATCATTAGCTTCATTCAAGACTTGATAGCGGTTTTGGTTTCTCCCTCGGTACTGTGCTTCATTCTTTCCAGCCCTCTCATTATATCTCCTCTCTCTCCTTTTGACAGTCATCCATTCCCCATATACCTTCCCCTCGGTAGGGTCCGTCATCTGTGTTTCAGGGACCATCTCGACCTCTTCCACTTCCACTTCAGCCTTCCTCTTGCAGTCACAGTTCTTCGCCGCCTCACCGTAGCGCCCACACTCATTGCATATATTCTCCAGTCCTTCATATTGAATCAGATAAGTGCTTCCTTCCACTTTGTACATCGATAGCAGCGGTCTCGTCAAGTCTACTTCAACACAAACTCGAGCAAATTTTGCCCGGGCTCCTTCCTCAGTTGCCCTGTCCACTCGCACCGGTCTTCCAATCAGGTCAGCTATTAGGAGGACGGCTTCCTTGTTAATGAATTCCACAGGTAGGTCCGGTAGCTGCACCCAAACCATGGTGGAGGTAATCTCTGAGGTCCACGGATTAAATCCCTTAAACCACCTGTGCACCGCCAAGTACGTATCACCCATCATCCAGGGGCCCCCATACGTCGCTAGCTCATAATCCAGTTTGCTCTTGAATTTTACTAAAAAACAACTGTTTTTCATATCTGATATACTTATTTTTCCATGACGTGCCCAGAGGAAGTTCAGTCGACGCGCTAAAGGGAGGTATGGTACTTTCCGACCTAAGCCCCGCACCACTAACGCCGATCGCCACTCTCTCCTCCACCGAATCTTCTGAGCTGCCGAGAACAGGACTGTCGGGCATGTCGGGTCCTTTTCCTCCTCAGGAATAAAGTCATCCTCCTCTTTTTCTCTGCTCGCTACATCTTCAGAATCCGAGTCAGCCACATACCACCCTTCCTCCTCCGTCACGTCCGAAAAGAGCCTAGCAGCTGCACCCTTCCACACTGACTCCTTCGGGATTGTTTTTGTATGATCATCGTTCACTCCCTGGCCTTCGTCCGCTTCCATCTCCGATGAGCCTCCCTGGAGACCCACCCCCTCTTGACTTAGGTTCAGCCCGCGCACACGTTTTTTGGCCTGAATAGTCTCCTTCTCTCTCTTCCCATCCGGAGAGGAGGTAATCGTATCTGCCCTCCGAGTGCCACTTAAATCCGGTGGCTTGCCTGTCGGAGACAGCGCCATGAAGGACGGCGGTGCCGCCATCGTGAAACGGGAAACCCTAGGTTCAGAAAAACTTTCCTAGAAAATCGGAGCTCGTTGGGTATATCGTTTAGAACCCGGAAAGATAGATAGATAGATAGATAGATAGGTAGATAGAAGATAGATAGATAGATATATGATTATTTTTTGTAAAAAAAAAAGGAAAAATAGAAGAAGCGAAAGCAATGGGAAAAACGGCAAAATTTATTTTTATTTTGTATAGAGAAACAAGCAAGGCTTGGCTCCAAGAACCGATCCGAACCTAAAGAATTTGAAACTTGCAGTTACATACAGAGTGGAGAACTGAGAAGGGCTCAAATCACAAGTCTACACTTCCAGCCAGGCTTCCCGGGGCCAGTTTACCCAATCAGCTCCTCGGTTCTGGTACGCTTTCGTGGTTGCATTTTGTGAGCCTCGGTTATTGGAAAATTCATCGTTCCTTTAGGAGTAAGAATCACTGGGAAGTCGTCGAGGCATTGTTTCAGTTCGATTTCTTTCTACTCGATTCTTACTCTCTGTGCTTCGTGGGAATTGAGTTTGTGATTCAGAATCAGAATCAGGGTTTCGTTTTGCAACTAGGGTTTGGGAGACGTTCCTTGAGTTGGGAGCAGTGCATGGATGAGTTTTTAAGTGCTGCTGGGAGAGGAAGCTGCGTGACTAAGGTCTTTCAATGAAGCTCCGATTGGCGCTTCTGTTGTTCGTTATGTGATTTGTTGAATTTGTTTCACTGGGTTTGTTTCTGGGTTTTGGACGGGCGCTAGTGTGTTGCTATTATGAACAACAATAATCCCCCTAGGAGTGTGGGGGTACCCATTCCATTTGCCAATTCTGGCGCTGGAGCAAAATCTGTGCCCTTGAGTCACCAGATTCCTCCCCACCTGCTCTCTCAGTCAAAACCTCACGCACAAGGTGGGTCTTTCCAGGGCCACTTTCAGCTCCCCGAGGCACAAGCTCAGCTGCTGAGCCATGCACAACCACCTGTGCAGCAGCCTGCGCACGTTCGCATCCAATCATCAACTAACCAATCTATTAGCCAGCTGCAGAGCCCGATTTCTGGTGGGGTTGGTCTGCCATCGCCTTCTGGGTCCATTCCAGCAACTGCAGGTACCAAAAGGGCTGGTCATAAACCCCCCTCTAAGGTAGCTGGAGGATCAAATCATGCTCATTCGTCTTCCCTTTATAAGGCGATGGAGTTAGCCCCTGCCCCGAATAGGAAGAGGCCAAAGCTGTCCGAGAAGCAGATACCTGCAGAAGTTGCAGCCAAACTTCCAGAGTCTGCACTCTATGCACAGTTGCTTGAATACGAGGCTAGGGTGGATAATGCTCGCGCAAGGAAGAAGGCAGATCTTAGAGAGGCCCTTAAAAACCCTCCCCGAGTAAGGAAAACTCTTAGATTGTATGTTTTCAACACTTTTGATAATCAAGGAGTAGGCAGCGGCGAGATGCCGACTGCAGGGCCTCCGTCATGGTCATTAAAGATTATTGGCAGGATCCTGGAAGATGGGAAAGATCCTTTGCTAGAAGGGCAGGTGCAGAAATCTTACCCAAAATTCTCATCATACTTCAAGAAAATTACCATTATCTTAGACCAATGTCTCTATCCAGAGAAACAAGTAGTTTGGTGGGAGAGTAACCGATCTACTGAACTTCACGAGGGGTTTGAGGTGAAGAGGAAAGGTAATAAAGAATTTACTGCACTTATAAGATTAGAAATGAATCACACTCCAGAGAAATACAAGCTTTCCCCTCAATTGGCAGAAGTCCTGGGCTTTGAAGTGGAGACACGTTCAAGGATCTTGACGGCGATTTGGCATTATGTCAAGTCAAACAAGTTGCAAAACCGTAATGATCTATCCTCATTCATATGTGATCCACCACTGCGAAGATTATTTGGGGAAGAGAAGATGAAGTTTGGAATGGTGGCACAGAAGATAAGTCAGCATCTTATATCTCTACAACCTATTCATTTGGAGCACAGGATCAAGCTATCAGGGAGTTCTCCTGCTGGAACTGCTTGTTATGACATTGATGTTGATGTTCCCTTCCCTGTGCAAACTGATATTTCTAAGTTCTTTGAGGACACAGGGAGACAGAAAGAGATCGATGCTTATGACAAGATAATAAGTGATTCAATAAAGAAGATACATGAGCGCTGCAGAAGGCGTGGTTTCTTTCTCGGTTTCAGTCGCTCTCCAGCAGAGTTTATTAATAAGTTTATTGCTTCTCAAACCGAAGATCTGAAGCTTATAGCTGGAGATACCAATTGCAGCACAGAAGAAGAGCAACAGGCAGATTTTTATAATGAGCCATGGCAAGTATCCTATACTTCTTTTTGTGCTCTCTTTTATTTTATTTTTTGACCATTTAAGTATAAGAGATTAACTTGCAGTGCAAGATCGTGTTCTTTACAAATGGTAAATGAAGGCAAGACCAATAGAATTGTACTGAGTATTGTGGTTGAAATCTGTCAGGGTGGAAGATGCTGTTCTTCGTTACCTGAATCGCAAGAGTGCTGGAAGTGATGTGCCAGCAAGGACTTGATTAAAGGGTTCTAATGTACTGTTGTTGTGGTAGAGGTGCCCACATCGGTAAGCATATCTAATCACATATTTCAGTTTAGTTATTAGTCTTAGAGAGAGAAAGGGATTGAAGTATGTTGTATCAGTAGATTTTGTTTTCTGTGGAAGGGTTTCTTTTGATATGTTTATCTCCATCTCCCTCCCTTAGCAGCGTAGAATGTACAACATGGATTAATGATGGTAATTTCCCTTTCTGTTCAAAACTACATCAAAACATACTTATTAGTAATGACTCTTATCTTCTCTGCATTGAAGTTGCGGATCTCTTACTTTACCAATTTGGCTACAGAAGGCCTTGATTTCATTTTTGGCTATTTGCCTGCACTGAATTTCCGAGCACCACAAGAACATGCTCAGCTCAGGGGTGTTTTAAAGAGGTGTTGGGCAGATTTCATCCATGAACAACTTACAAACTGCTCTAATCTCTTTATCTTCACATTTTTGCTGGTTAATTGGGCTGCTTGCTGTTGAACTCAGCCTTCGCCCATTTAGGTAAACAGTGGGCTGGACCATTCTTTTTCGCAAAGCTAGTGGATTATCCTGAAAACTTTGTAAGAGGTGTGGGTGATGGTGCTTCTCTCGTTAGGACTGCACAAAAAGACCGAATACGGACCCAACCAACCATCCAAACCGAGCTAACCAAGCAAAACCGAACCAAAACAAGGTGCATGATTGGATCAATGGGGGTCTTGGGATGTGAAACCCATGATTCAATTTGGTTTGGCTACAGGTTGAGGTTGGGGTCTCTGAAATCAAGGTTCGATTTATACTCACTAGGATAATACGTCTTATTTCCATGGCTAGTCATTTTCCCTTCTTGCCTGCAGCGCGATGAATGGACACACATAAAAAAGAATAAATTAGATGAAATTTAGTTTTAAACGAAAAGACAGATGTTTTCAATTGATCACATACTTGAGTTACCAGCGAAACTAAACCTATGATCAACATGATTTTATAATAATTTAATCACCTTGAAAGTGGCTAAACTATATTGTCCATAACAATGGAAGTTACGTTTTTTATGGTGAAATAAAATTTTAGGGCTAATACACTAGGAAACCCGAACTATTAAGAATGTGTCATTTGTGTTCTAAAGTATCCAATATAACATTTGTGTCCCAACCTATTATAGTTTTGTGTCATTTATGTCCCAATCTATTATAGTTTTGTACCATTTATGTCCTAACTCGAACTATTAAGAATGTGTCATTCGTTAAATACTAATGGTCAACATCGGTCAACACTTTTTTAATTAGGGTTAGGGTGTGCTAATTTTGGGGGTTAGGGTGTCATTCGTTAAATACTAATGTGCCAGTTTTATAATTAGGGGTTAGGGTGTTTAATGACTGTTTTAATTAGGGTTAGAGTGTTTTAATGGTTGTTTTAGTAAGGGATTATGGTGTTTTAATGGTTGTTTTAATTAGGGTTAGGGTGTGCTAATTTTATATTTAATTTATTAATAGTTGTTTTATTAATTAGCAGTTGTGTCATTTTTGGCCAAAAACAAATTTGGTCTCGGAATTTAAAAAAATTCTATCGAAAAAAATTTATTTAAAAATGATGACGAACTATACAAAAATTAATATGAACAAATTATATTAAGACTTCCATAAATACATTTTTAAGTAAATGGAAAATTGAAAAAAAAAAGAGATCCCCAAACTGGTCTCATCAACATCCCACAGGAATCGATTACCTGCTATACTTATCTTATAACATACTGTACGTAGTAGCACAAATATATGCAACCAATATTGTAGTATGCTCGTAAGGATTGTGTAGTTGAGTTTCAACCTACCTGCAAAGCTCAATGACTTTGCCCTCAAGTTTCGAACACACTGATGTATCTTATCTACCAGCACCTGATAGTCTTTTTTAGTTAATTTGGCAACAAGTAAAGGCACTCCAAGATACCTAACATGGAGATTACCTAGAAGAAGCCCTATGTACTATGACATATGATGCATTAATTTTTGCCTTAGGAATACCTGCACAAAAAAACTGGCACTTTTCATGGTTACACTGAGTATGAATATATAGAAACCATCAAGAAGCCTAATTATCCCTTCTATATCTCGTATTGGCTCATTTGAAAACACTAGTTGATCATCTTACGAAGCATACGTGAGTTATGGTAAGAGATTTACATCTAGGGCTGATATGAAACTTGACTTTCCCTCACTGTCTCTTATTTAGTGCATAAAAAACCTCCATAGTTATTGTAAATAATTAGGGAAGAGTGGGTCCACCTGTTTAAGAACCTTGTCCATTTAAAAAATTCGCAAAAACCCCATTGAATGCGATACTTACCATAGGAGTACTGATACATGCCTTCATTAGAGTTATGAATGCACCTGTAAATCTCATTGTTGCCATCAATATAAATAAAAAATCCCAACTTACAAAATAAAACGCTTTCATGATGTCAATCTTGAATGTGCACTAGGGTGGGAAACGTTGTGGTTCGGACCAGACCAGACCATATACACGGTCTGTTATCTAGATCGAGAGGCTGGAACACAGACCATGGACCAGACCAGACTAGTCCACGCCTTTGCGTTGCGATCCAGTATGGTCTAGATCAGACAGACCATGTTAAAAAAAAATTCACTCTTATTCCGCCCTCCAACTCTTCCCCGTATCTATAAAAATAAAAATTTCAGTGACCAATATGCTAGTGAAATGGAAATTTTGTGATCGTAATTAAAATGAGAAGAAATATATGAGGGGAGAAGTGAAAAAATTCACTCTTATACCGTCCTCCAACCCTTCCCGGTATCCATAAAAATAAAAATTTCAGTGACCAATATGATAGTGAAAACAAAATTTAGTGATCGTAATTAAAATAGGAAGAAATATATGAGGGGAGAAGTGAACTTTTTTAATTTTCAAACTCTCTCTAGTCTCCACGACTCTTTTTAGAATCCATTAAAAACACACATCAAATAGCCTTGTTTACCTCTTCCTCTTTGTGCTACCGCTTCTCTCCCTCTCTGGTGGTCCGGAAGGTTCTCGCGGTCGATCACCATCGTGGTCATTTTGAAACCACTAAGATGGTCACTTATCTCTCAATAATTTTTTTTTATCTCATCAAGGTCAATGAATTTTTTTAGTGTTCTGTTTTATCAACTCCATAGTCTAGACATTGTGAGTGAATATTATTTATGAATCATTCTTGTTTTTGTGTGGTTCTTTAATAAGGAGATAACACATAAGCAATCATTTTGGCAATATGTTGACTCTCAATTGGTTGAATAATCAACTAACTTTGTTTTTCAAATACAAAATTGATGTTTAATTTAATGTTATTTGGTATGAGTTAGTAGGTTTGTCACAGTTTACTATGGTGAATCGCGGTCTAGACCACACACTAAAGGAGGAGAACATAAACCAGACCATGGTTCTGATCTCACGGTCCAGACCAAACCATATGATATGGTCTAGACCGTGGTTCCCTATATGGTTTGGTCTAGATTCCCAGCCCTACTGTGCATCAAACACTCAAAGAGGATTTGTGATAATCCTGTACTAACTCGGAAGTAAGTAAGACCTAATTGCGAAATGATCTTTCCATGATGAAAGTTGATTGAGAGGGACTTATTACCTTGGGGAGCACAAAAAGCTAGTCTACTCGACATAATATTCAATATCCCTTTATACATAGTGTTGCAACACGATATCGCGTGAATGTCCTTCATGTGGAATGCTCTTTTAACCTTGGTCACTAGGGTGAACACAGTTGCATTAATCCAATTTGGCATAATTCCTATCCGAAAAACTGCATTACAACTAACTTCCTTCACTCGATTTCTATCAAGTCCCAATGATACTAGTAAAATTCTACAGGAAAACCATTAGACCCAGGGGTTTTGTTCTTTCTTATTACTTTAAATTCTGCAAGAAAACCTTTAGGCCCATGACTTTTCCTTTCTTATTACTGTAAACGCTTGTCATATTTCTTCTCGAGTTACAAGCCGACATAGGAAGTCATAATCCACATTTTCCAATTATGCTGCAAAATCTCATAATAGAACTCCAAAGGTTTTTGTTCCACTTCATTATTCACCTCACCAATCAGCTTATTGTAAAAGTCATTACCACTTCTCCAATTTCCCGACCCTTTAGAACTTCCCGACCATGCTCATCAATAAGTTTTGATATTTGTTGCTTATGAGTTCTTACGCTCACAGGTTTGTGAAAAAATAAGGTATTCATATCCCCTTGCCTTGATCCACTTAGTACGAGCTTTTGCTTAAAGAATAAATCCTCTCTCTGTCTTTTGTAATTCTTTGCACTTGCAAGCCATCATACCTTACTTTTCTACCATGTCAGCAACAAGATTAGTAGCACTGCATTCAACACTTTCTCAAGATATGCCTCAGCCTACCTTGTCCTTGATAAAATATATGCATACTACTTCTTATTCAACTATTTAAGCATCTGCTTAATTTTCCTTAACCTTCTGTAAAACACATAATGAGAGAAGCCTTTAATTTGGGCACTTAAAGCTTATGTAATCAAACTGATGTAAGAAGGGTGTTGAGTCCATAATTTGGGGATCCTTTGAATGGGGGATTTAGATGAGGAATTTCAACATAATCCCTTGTTATGTCGGTTTTTGGAAAATATATGTGTTTGAAGACGAGGGAATTTTTCTTTTTGTGAACTTGAAGGTCACAGGTTCGAATTTCTTAAGTAGTATCTAACCATAAAAGTAATTATACCTATATTAACCTTTTAAGAAAGACGAGGATTTCGCAATTAGGGATTTTCAAAACCCTCAATGGCGAGCTTATGAAATAACTGATCTCCATTAGTTATTTCAAAATCTCTCAATTTCATTTTATATTTTTCCAAAAGTACCCTCATATGGTCGCCTTCCTTTTTTACCACAACATTGATGCCATTTATTCTTCTTCTGGGTTAGTCGCCAAACTTTCGACCACTAAATTCTTTCTCCACCAACGTACTTCCTCCTCCAATTGAACTTTCTGTTTAAGATCCACGAAAATCAATTAACAAACCCAATCACTCTCTGGGTTTATATCTCGGTGATGGATTGATGACTCCCTCTCTCTGATCTTTACTCATAGTGTCCAGATCTTGACGGCGAAGGTTAATTTGTCATATCAAATCAACCCACTTTCAGGAGATCGTATTTCTCACCTGCTTAGAATAGGATTCACAGTTGTGATCGGAGTTTTATGAAATCTGAGTACCAATCCTTCCTAGATCCGCTCCTCCATCTCCATCTTCGGCTTCTCAACTAGGGATTGGCTAATGGCTATTGTGACTTGTCATCGAGGACTGAATAAACGAGTGATTTGGGTTAAAATCCATCACTATCGAAATTCCGTATCCAAATGACCCCTTGAAGAATTTGAAAGGTTTTGGCAGAGTGTCAACTGGGGGAGAAATCTAGAAAACAATTCCATAGTGTACTGAAACACCCTAGAACACCTGGTGGGAAAGTTTGAGCCGAGTTATGAGGGAATACATCCATTTATGCTTCATTCACCAACACCCTATCCAAATGCTTAGCAATATGATTTTCCTTATGTTCGTCACACCATGTGAACTAAGTGCCTAGTACTTTATGTTCAAGCAACTTCATCTTCTTTATCGAGCCTCTAAAATCCAACATACTTCGTGTAACACTCATTTTGTTAGAAAACTATGCAATGTCAACCACAACATTTTGATCACCCATTACAGCCTAAGGATTTTGAACTTCCTACAGAGCAACCAGATCCTTGTAAAACCTAAACCTTCCATGCTCCATGTTGTGACTATATACAAATACTAAGATATAACTACACCTGACCAACCACCATAACTTTAATAAAATGTTCACCCTTTGCAAGCTTCATGACACTTAGCCTAGTGTCCAAAACAATCAAACTCGACCATATTGGAATTTCTGGTAGTTATTAGTATTCTTCCAAGCATAAAACTTATTATTCACTATAATACGATCATTATTTACAGCAACTCTACTATCTATAATAGCTATAATGGCTATTTTCAACCTCCTTAACTTTCTCAAAACTATTGTGTGATTGTCAGGTGAATTAAAACCCCTCACATTCCAACAAAACACATTTATTTTCCATGGTGTTTCCCATACTCCTACCTTTCAACGGAGAAGGAGGGGGTGCAACTGATCAACAAACTATAGAAGATTTACTCAGAGATGAAAAGGCTTGTTCATCCAGCCATGGTTGCTTAAACCACGAGAATGCTTGCAACACAACAAATTGGTTCCCAGGGCTCTGCCCAGTACTAGTTTCCTTTTTAAAAGCCTAGCCTTCTGCCTTATTTCTCAACTATCTGAAAATCATCTTTCCTCACTACCCAAACTTTTCGAACTTAATCTAGAACTTCAACCATTAATGTTGCTCCAGCCTTAGAACTACTTCCCAGAACCATTTCAAATTCAAGCTCGCACAATTTCTCTTTACCCTTCTAATCAGAGCAACTTTGAATAACATTCACTTTCTTTACCACAATATTCTTCACCACCAATACCTTTTTCGTTCGTCCTCCCACTAGACGCGAGTAATCATGCCCACACTTATCACAAATTGAAGGGATAGGAAAATACTCAACGTCCACAAACATCTTCGACAGACCAGTATTAACACTCAATTTATTCACAAGCTTGTTTTCCACAGTAATTTCAACACAAACCTTTGGTTCGAGCGTATTTATACATAGTTTACACCCCATATCTTGATTGTTTGACTTGGTAATCGTTGTTCCTTGACTTATTTTACGCTATCATGTGCTTCTTTTGTCACATTTCAGGTCCTAGCACATGTAGGAGGGTCGAGGACGAGTTTCGGGACATTGGGAGGTCAAAACGAGCCAAAAGTGGAGTATGTGCAAGGTTCCGGGGCTAGGTGTTAAGATC